CTGAGGTCAGTACAGAGACAGACAGAGGGGCTGAGGTCAGTACAGAGACAGACAGAGGGCCTGAGGTCCGAGTCTGAGACATGAGAGTGGGATGAGAGCATGAGGGAGAGGAGGCAGACTGACCTGTTGCGGGCAGTGTTCCAGTCAGTGGTCAGCTTGGCAAACTGTTTCTTGTTCCTCAGGATAGCAGGCAGGTCCTCCTGTGACAACAGCCCACACAGCACAGTGTTAGACACAGATTCCAGCCTCACAGCAGCACACGCCAGGGCACTGGCCTCAACAACAGCTTGTTCCACACTCCCACCACCCTTTGTGTAAAGAAGAGTCTCCTGTTCTCAATTCAAAATGTACTTCCATAGTCTTACCACTTCTGGTTTCTCTACTGATTCTGGAGAAGTTCACTGGGTCAGCACCCTCAGGGATTTTGAATACTTGTATCAGGTCCCTCGTAATCTTCTCCAATTAAAACTAAAGAGATTTGGTTCCTTCAGCCTGTCAGTCCAGCAGACTCCCCTATACCCCTCTTCACTTGAGATACCCCAACCCACAGACCCCCTATGGATTCTAGATGCCCCTCAGACCCCCTATACAGAAAACCCCTATATTATATTATTTCCTCCTACGTCAGAGACACCCTATATTAGGGTACAGTTGGGGGAGTTAGGTAGCTCACCTCACTGAGTTTATTCAGGGGTTCCAGCACCTCCTTCTCCATCTGGACCTCGAAATCGGCCAGCATCCTGGCCAGCCTGTTCTCAGTGAAGCAGCACATCTCCAGCACCCTCCTGACGCACAGAAGTGACAGACATGCTTAGACCGGTCAGCACACCGAAACTGGCCCAGATGGACACACTCAGCTCGGTCATCACTCTGAAACTGGCCCAGACGGACACACACACACAGCCCAGTCAGCATTCTCAAACTGGTCCATATGGACACACGGACACACACACACACAGCCGATCATCACACTGACACTGGCCCAGATGGACACACACAGCTCGGTCACCACACTTGAATCTGGCCCCTATAGGCACACTGGCTCCCCACCACATCCACTCTTTGAGCATTTGGCTCTGTAGCGACCTGCAGGTGATCCTGTCCTGATTGGAGGAGAGGCAAGTCCCTCGCTGACATCACAGCGAGCCTGCAGGCGCCCAGAGAAAGCCCCATCTGTCTCATCCCACCTCCCACCCCCAGGAGGTGCTGTGCCACCTGTGTGCCACCTGGGCTGTCTGCTCTTGCCTGGCCTGTCTGTGTTGCAGCCCAGAGTCTCAGAGCCTCACCTTATACTTGAATCCCCGTCGAAGTCCTTAAAGCTCTCCGCCATGCTGACAGACAGCATCATCAGAGGGATCTTTTTCTGTGGAGAGACAGGAAGATGGGAAACAGACAGGAGAGACAGACAGGCAGGAGAGAGACGTGAGAGAAAGACAAGAGATGGAAGACAGACAGGTGAGAGAGGGACAGACGGACAGGTGAGAGAGGGAGTAAGTAACCCTGCTTGAAGAGAGCGACAGACATGAAAGAGATAGCAGGGAGAGACAGACACAAGAGAGATGGGGAAACGGGGGGGACATAGGAGATGGAGACAGACAGGTGAGAGAGACAGACAGGTCAGAGAGACAGGAGAGAGAGAGAGAAGATTGATGGGGAGGACTGGTGAAAGAGGAAAAGAAAAAACTGATTGAGTAAATGTGAAAAATGTGTGTATTTTCCCCCCAACACAGGGAGACTGCACATACAGTGCTACCAATAGTTACATACTCCCTCTAGTGGCTAAGATGTGTAAGCTATGTAAGGAACATGACTTATGGCACTGATTATTCACTCTTAATGACTTTGTCTGATCACTTAACCGGGCTCTATTCCCACTGTTTCCAGTTCTTCACCCAGTGAGGATTCTGGGTGGATCCCGGTGCACAGTGTCCCCGCGGGACCAGGAGTGAAGATCACTGACCCATGAGCTTCCAGACAGCGTTACAGGCGTGCGCCTGGGACGAGCCTGTTGCAGTACTTGCTGCAGACAGAGCTCTAGCCCCGAACGGCAACAGACGCACAGACAGACGGGGGTGCTGTACCAGACGCTTATCCATGTCCGGTCCCGGCTGGCTCTGCAAGCAGCCAGTCAGCTTCTTGGAAAGGATCTGGAAGGCCTTCTTGGCTGGCTCCACCCTCTGCTCCACCTGCAGCCAATGAGAACGGAGGGGCGGGGCCTCAGAAGGCAACTGCGCGGGAACTGACAACACATTCAGCCAATCATAACAGCAAGCCACCATCGTCAGCCGCACAAGCGCCGAGCTCGCCAGCGCGCGCGGTGCAGAGCCGGCAGTGTAAGAGGAGGGCAAGCGTGAGGCCACTTTGCAGTCCACTCCATTACCAGCGCACTCCGCGGCATGTTTTTCCAGCGACCAGACTCCCAGATCTGTAGGATCAACACCACGCTGAAGGTGCTGGCGGCATGGAAGCCCTGGAGCGGAGCCCGGGTGGAAGTGCCCCCGCGGAGCCCCAGCCCCGTTAGCTGGGGGTCCAGAAACAGCCCAGCGGTATCAACTCACCAGCACGAGGTCCTCAGCCAGGAGGTCAGTTGCATCCTGTGCCCTGGAGGTTGAAAAAAAGAGCCACT